CTATCTCAATTTGTTCGAATGATAGGGTGAGTACAACAGACAGACACATAGACGAACTGATGACTTATATTTCCATTTTGGTTTTGTTCTTATCTGGTAGGATACACACTACAGTACCACATTTTTCTGGTGTTTTTGCAATTTTTATGGAGGGTATGTTAAGTTTGTCATTTCGTTTGTAACACCTCAAAATATACATTTTAGACCCAACAAAATATATATATTCTTGATCAGCATACAATTTTTGTCGATTTAGCTATGTCCGTCCGTCGGTATGTGGAAATCACTCAAATCAACGAAATCAAGTAGATTGATACAATTTTACTAAAATATATATATCTGCAAGGCTTTTGGTATTGAAAATGGGCCATGTAGTTCCACGTTTTGGTATAGCCCCGGTACCTCCAGATATTCGGTATTTTGGTAATTTTAGCGACATTATTCACCGGAATTTTTTCAAATTTGGTAGCTGAAGTTCGTTATGTATATTACAGCGTAGCATAGAAATTTGTCTGTGCTGGTTCACATCTTCGTATAGCCCCCATATAACGGTACCTCCTGATATTTTGTAGAGTATTGATTATTTCGACATTATTCACCGGAATTGTTTCAAATTTCGTATTTGAAGTTCGTAATGGATACTCCAGCCTACGACAGAAAATTGTCTGTGCAGGTCCAAGTCTTCCTATATGAATATTATAATAGCATATGAAAAAAGTTACCTATACATTGCCAAATTCGTTCCAAATAGTGGAGGGTATTTATTCAAAGTTCGCCCGGCCGAAATTACAGCTTTCTTACATGTTCTTCTTCATGGAAATGTTCGACAAAGCAATGCATATGTAAACATAGCAGTGTGCACATTAAATTTAGGATTAATTATATTTGACATATTACCCTGATATTTCCTTTACCCAGATTGGGTGAAACTTTTCTTCTATACGAAGCTGTAAAAATTGGTGTGGTCAAATTTCTCCTCCTTTTGAGATAATATTGTCCCACTTTCCCAAAAAAAAAGAAAAACATTTACGTTTATTAATTTATAACGAGCTTTAAATGCTTTGAAGTTCTTTAGACTTAAAGAGCAATCCAGACTCCAAAAATTAAGCATATTTACTGATTGCATATATACGAGTCTTTCGTCAACATCATATGACATTGTCCATGTCAACACAAAAAGCAAGCTTTCTCAACGTCATTAATAAGAAAAGATATTCATCGCTGTTTCTTATGTTCAACAAAATTTGGGTTGATTAATGTATTGTGAACTCTGAGTTAAGCTAGCTTTATTTGGGGCTAATAATGCCATTTTTGAAATGTGGTTGTTGTTGCCAAATGTGTATCCAGAGAAGATGAGGGTTTATATAGGAAACTGGTGGGTTTTACATAATGATTGTCGTTGATTGACTTTAGGTAAACATTTTCCTATTCTGATTTTGTGTGTAAAGGAACAACTTGAATAATACATAAAACATTTTAATCCTGCGCCCTTAGAACAACGTATGAAGTTTTCAATAAACTAAATAAACTTCAACTAAACTCGAACTTAAAACTGTGCATTTTGAGTACTAAAAGAACTGAACACGAACGGTTGGAACAAATCAAAAATTTTCAGTTAGGTTCCTCACTGATGAAGTAACGGGCACTTCCTAGTCTAGAATATAGGTATAAGCAGTCACCTAAAGCATTCATCAACAAGCAGGCAGAGCGATAAAACGCCCTTTAACCAGGGAAAACAGATACTTTTTAGAATTAATCAAATAGAAAGTTAAGACAAATGGCTGATATCTTTGATGTAAACGATCATCAAAAGAGACACTACAACTACATTCGTTATATTCAATCGTATAAAAATAATGATGGAATACGTTTACCTTTACAAAATCAAGGTATTTATGTACTACCTCGGAAAGGTAAGGGTTATTTGAATAGTGCCGATGGAGACATTTCGCAGGACGCGACGTTGACAAATAATTGTGCTGCAAACATGCTTGACGGAATTCGATGTGAATAGAAATTTATATAGAATAGAAATTTTATGCACGCGTTATCGGGGTAAATCTTCAAAACTTAACAATTTGATTTATCTTTGTGAAGTTGAAGGCAAAGTTATGGGCCATACAGGATGGAATGTAAATAACGATGTGTCAGTAAATTCTTTCTCTTGGACCATTTAATGGGACCTGTAGAAAACTTTAATCAAGTAATTTACAATAGCACAGAGTAATTTACAATAGCACTATACTCTTGATCAGCATAAAATTCTATGTCGATTTAGGTATGTAGATGGATACAATTTTACTCAAATGTATATTATGTATGCTGGACTTTTGGTATTGAAAATGGGCCATGTAGGTCCACGTTTTGGTATAGCCCCTATATAACGGTACCTCCCGATATTCCGAACCGAACATTATTCACCGGAATTGTTTCCAATTTGATGTTTGATGTTCGTAATGGATGCTGCAGCCTATGACAGGGGATTGTCTGTGCAAGTCCACGTCTTCGTATAGCCATCATATATAGGTACCTCCCGATATTCGGTAGTTTGATGATTTTAGGGACATTATTCAAAGGAATTGTTTCAAATTTGATAATTGAAGTTCGTAATGGATGCTACAACCTGTGGCAGAAAATTGTCTATGCGGGTCCAGGTCTTCGTATAGCTCCGATATAACGGTACCTCCCTATATACGGTACTTTGATGCTTATTTTTATTGTTTTTATAAAAAAAAGTTTGTTTATTAGTGGAGAAAGCTGATAATGGGTTCTAGTTCGTGTGGAACATTGTATGTATGAAACATTGTATGTATAGGTCCACGATTTGATATAGTCCCCATATAACGGTACCTCCCAATATTCGGTATTTTGAAGATTTTTGACACATTTTTTCAAGAATTACTGCGAAAATTGGTAGTTGTAGATCATAATGGGTCCCAGTTCGTATGGCGAGTCATTGTAATTATAGGTCCACGTTTTGGTATAGCCCCCGTATAACGGTACCTCCCGATATTCGGTATTTTGATGGGTTTTGCCACATTTTTTCTGTTTCCTTTACCCTAAGGGTATTAAAAGTTTGGCCCAGCCAAACTTAATGTTTTTGAGTATTGCCTAGTTAAGGCGAAGATCATATGTTTTATGATTTAAGTGTTTGTTTTTCTCTTTCGAGACGAGCTTAATGATCTGAAATTTGCAGTGAAAAGGAAAGCCAGATAGACACTATCACACACTCACCACTATGCGACGCGTTTCGCCGTTGGTTAAGCTGTTTTTTACTTGTTTTTTTTTTTTTTTTCAAACAAAGTGACATGATCGTAAGCCCAATAAAAGAGAAAACCAAATAATTAAATTGAATAACTAGTTAAAAAGCAGTTAGTTCGACCAGGCCGAACTTTGAATAACCTTCACATCTTTTAATCTTAAAAACACCGAATATAGCCGTTATATTACGGTCTCTACGACGTGAGCCTACATAGGCTTTATTTTTCATTCAAATTCGAAACTTGAAATAAACGGTGAATAATATAGCTAAAAGCATCAAAGTACCGTATATAGGGAGGTACCGTTATATCGGAGCTATACGAAGACCTGGACCTGCATAGACAATTTTCTGCCACATCCATTACGAACTTCAAATACAAAATTTGAAACAATTACGGTGAATAATGTCGATAAAATCATAAAAATACCGAAAATAGGGAGGTACCGTTATATGGGGGCTATACGAAGACGTGGACCTGCACAGAAAATGTTCTGTCACAGGCTGTAGTACCCAATTTGAACTTCAACTACCAAATTTAAAACACTTCTGGAAAATAATGTCGCCAAAATCATCAAAATACCGAATATCCGGAGGTTCCGTTATATGATTTATGGCGAAGGGTATAAAAATCCTTCACCTTAAGGTAAAGGAAACATTAGAACTCACTATGACCCACAAATACCAAATTTTAATATGTCTAAAAAATGTACCTATACAAAAACGTAGACCTATACATACTATGTTTCGCCAATGGTGCTAGAACCCATTAGGAACCACAAATACAAATTTTTAGACAAATCCGAGAGGAAATGTGGCAAAAATTAAAGAAATACCGGGAGTTATACCAAAACGTGGACCTATACATATAATGTTTTTGGCACCTGAGCTAGAACCCATTATTATCAACAAATACCAATTTTTAGACAAATCCGTGAAAAATGTGACAAAAACCATCAAAATACCGAATATCGGGATGTATCGTTATATGGAGGCTATACTAAAGCGTGGACCTATACATACAATGTTTCGCCACCCGTACTAGGAACCATTAAGACCTACAATCACCCATTTTCAGACAAATCAGTGAAATAATGCGGCACAAACCATCAAAATACCGAATATTAGGAGGTACCAGATCTTATTATGACAAACATGCCAACAATGTTGTCTTTAGTGCTATATATATGTTTCTTTATACATGAAGTTCACCGATAGCATAAGCTAATATGTGTTTATTACAAAATATTTCTGTTCAAACCAATAATAAAACTCGTAATATTTTTATGTCGTAAAACACTGGTTTCGTAACACTTTGTTTAAGGAACGTCAGAGAAATAAAGATTCTCCATACAATTTTAATAATCCACCTTCAACAACTCTAAATATTGAAGAATATGAAAAACACGTCAGGATGAAATTGGATTTTCAATATGACGCTTCATATAATAATACCAACATTTCTAAGTCACCAAGTGGCAGTGAAGATGTTGTACGGAAATATGATATTTCGACACAAGACAATTCGTCTATTGATCCAAACATTTTGTCGAAGCAACCCCAATGCATTGATTTAAAAATTATAAGCGATATATCGTTCGAAAGAGATATGAGCCGCAATGATATTTCACAGGCACAATATGAAACAGTGTCTTCAAATAACAATTCAGAAGCATTCAACTACGACAAATATTTAGGTCACAAACACCAACGCAATTGAAAGCAATAATCAACAATATGAAAGCTGTATTCTAAACCAAATGGGACCTCCAAAAATACAACAGACTAACGCAAACACACCCAATAGTTCACTTGATACATCCGTTCCACTTTTGCAATCTAATAACCGTTTTGATAAGATAACACGGTCTCCTCAATATGAAACGACATCTAATAGCACCATTATTTGTAATTCAGGAGGAATAAGGGCAAATCGAACGCGATTCACGGATTATCAAATAAAAGTACTCCAAGAATTTTTTGAAAACAATTCATATTCTAAGGACAGTGATTTAGAGTATTTGAGCAAATTGCTGCTGTTGTCGCCACGGGTAATTGTTGTATGGTTTCAAGTAAGTAATTGTTTTTGTTAAGTGATTTTTTAATGACATAATTCATTATTATAGAATGCACGTCAAAAACAGAGAAAGATATATGAAAACCAGCAAAATACAACTCATTGTGACAACGAAGATAAAAAACAAAATATAAATTACACATGCAAACGGTGCCATTTAGTTTTTCAACGTTATTACGAACTGATTCGACATCAAAAAATCATTGCTTTAAGGAAAAGAATAATTAACGATCTGCAAAGGCTCAGAAAGCCTCGGCGCAGATTGCACAACATTTAAGTTCAGAAGATTCCAATTCTTCAATGGACCAATCAGTAAAACATCATCCTCACATTTGCCACGAATGAGTCCAAAAGGTTCAACATCTAATTCTACAATAGAGTTAAGTCATCGTACTAGTATGGACATGGTTTCTGTTTCCGCTGGGATATCAGCGATTCAATCGAGTGTGGCAGAATCTAATGAACCGATTTTGGCAAATTGTCCTAAGTGTAATATGTCATTCTCAGAGAAAAATAGATTGTGCCAGCATGGAACAATGCACATTCCTAAGCCGAATTTAAAATCCAAAGATAAAAGCCCTAGCTTGTATATTAATCCTTTTTGTGATTTTTTGCAGCAACTTCAGCAAAAATCATTCATATTGAATGAAAACGATGACGAGTCTTCCAATAAACTATATATATGCAAACGCAAGTATTCGGATGCGATATCGACTGAATATAATAATTTCCCCCCCTCAAATATTCACTATAAACCAACTGATCACACGAAAGTTCACATGCCTCTTCCATATCAAGGGATACGTCATCAACATGGAGAACAATCTATATTAAGGGATACCGACTTTCTATTCCAATATTATGAAAAAAATTAACATGTAAAGAATGCTGGTTTGGAAGTCGCTGAGAAAACAAAGCCAAGCATAGAGTTTTTATGGCAATATTATCAGATGATGGAGGCACATAAACATTTGCAAGTTGAGCACCACCAACAATCATTAATAGATCAAAAACAAACTGCTGAAGACATCGGACCTTTGGCAGTTGAAAATGGAAAGCATTCGCCAATTACAGAAGTTTGTCGTAAAGGAAGCCATTCAGTGAAATCTACGGAAATTTCTCATAGTAACTATGAGGAGGAAAATGTTAGAAGTTTTAGAGCAGATCCAGTAGACTACACTAGCGTAAGCCAAAATTCTGAAATTTTAGAAAAAAATGACCAATTAGATGTACATAACGAACTTGAGGCGGATTTTTTTCTAGACAGGGTAATACCAAAATCTGAAATAAAAGCCTTCTTCAGATTGGAGCGATCGCCCGCTGAATTGTTTCCATTTACTTCTGCTAATGCAAATGATTTATATTTTTGCAATCAAAAGACATACTGTTCAAATGGATTATTTAAAAAATATAACACCGGCATTGTCCTTGAAAATCATGGATCTATATTAAACGAATTTCACACAATTATTAACAAAGTTAAAAACATACAGTTTTCAAATTATATGATTGAGGTAAGTTAGCTGATGGAGAAGAACCGAGAAGAGTGTGTCATGAAAAGTTCGTGTTAATGATCCGGTCAAACTGATGATCACAAGAAGATAAGATAAATATATGCGGACTCATTCTTAACTTAGAAAAAACAATAATTAAAAAAAAATATATTATCTCTGGACCGAAATCAAGAAATATTGTCTACGATTCTCAATGTGAATTGGATTGAAAACATAACAGTGTGAAACGATAAATATTTGTTTATTTTTACAATATTACATTATAACATAACATTATACATCAACTATGGAACATTTTTATTTAAGTTCTGGACTTTGTTTCTATGCCCTTCGCCACAATGTAAGGGGTATATTAGTTTGTCATTTCATTTCCAACTCATGGTAATAATCATTTAAATCCCAGCAAAGCATATATAATATTGATCAGCGCAAAGTTCTACGAAAATAAAATTAAAAATGAAAGAATGTTTTAAAAACCATCAAAATACCGAATATTGACCCATACATGCAATGTTTCGCCAACGCAGCTGGAACCCATTATGACCTACCAAAACCAATTTTAAGACAAAATATTTAAATATAAAATATAAAAAATATTAAAATACCGAATATCGGGATGTACCTTAATATGGGGGCTATACCAAAACGTGGACCCATGCATGCAATGTTTTGCCACACGTACGGGAACCCATTATGACCTACAAGTACCAGTTTTCAGACAAATCCGTGAAAAATGTGACAAAAACAATCAAAATACCGAATATCGGGATGTATCGTTATATGGAGGCTATACTAAAGCGTGGACCTATACATACAATGTTTCGCCACCCGTACTAGGAACCATTATGACCTACAATCACCCATTTTCAGACAAATCAGTGAAATAATGCGGCACAAACCATCAAAATACCGAATATTAGGAGGTACCAGATCTTATTATGACAAACATGCCAACAATGTTGTCTTTAGTGCTATATATATGTTTCTTTATACATGAAGTTCACCGATAGCATAAGCTAATATGTGTTTATTACAAAATATTTCTATTCAAACCAATAATAAAACTCGTAATATTTTTAGGTCGTAAAACACTGGTTTCGTAACACTTTGTTTAAGGAACGTCAGAGAAATAAAGATTCTCCATACAATTTTAATAATCCACCTTCAACAACTCTAAATATTGAAGAATATGAAAAACACGTCAGGATGAAATTGGATTTTCAATATGACGCTTCATATAATAATACCAACATTTCTAAGTCACCAAGTGGCAGTGAAGATGTTGTACGGAAATATGATATTTCGACACAAGACAATTCGTCTATTGATCCAAACATTTTGTCGAAGCAACCCCAATGCATTGATTTAAAAATTATAAGCGATATATCGTTCGAAAGAGATATGAGCCGCAATGATATTTCACAGGCACAATATGAAACAGTGTCTTCAAATAACAATTCAGAAGCATTCAACTACGACAAATCTGAAAGTAACAGTTCGGATACGTTATTTAGGTCACAAACACCAACGTAATTGAAAGCAATAATCAACAATATGAAAGCTGTATTCTAAACCAAATGGGACCTCCAAAAATACAACAGACTAACGCAAACACACCCAATAGTTCACTTGATACATCCGTTCCACTTTTGCAATCTAATAACCGTTTTGATAAGATAACGCGGTCTCCTCAATATGAAACGACATCTAATAGCACCATTATTTGTAATTCAGGAGGAATAAGGGCAAATCGAACGCGATTCACGGATTATCAAATAAAAGTACTCCAAGAATTTTTTGAAAACAATTCATATTCTAAGGACAGTGATTTAGAGTATTTGAGCAAATTGCTGCTGTTGTCGCCACGGGTAATTGTTGTATGGTTTCAAGTAAGTAATTGTTTTTGTTAAGTGATTTTTTAATGACATAATTCATTATTATAGAATGCACGTCAAAAACAGTGAAAGATATATGAAAACCAGCAAAATACAACTCATTGTGACAACGAAGATAAAAAACAAAATATAAATTACACATGCAAACGGTGCCATTTAGTTTTTCAACGTTATTACGAACTGATTCGACATCAAAAAATCATTGCTTTAAGGAAAAGAATAATTAACGATCTGCAAAGGCTCAGAAAGCCTCGGCGCAGATTGCACAACATTTAAGTTCAGAAGATTCCAATTCTTCAATGGACCAAATCAGTAAAACATCATCCTCACATTTGCCACGAATGAGTCCAAAAGGTTCAACATCTAATTCTACAATAGAGTTAAGTCATCGTACTAGTATGGACATGGTTTCTGTTTCCGCCGGGATATCAGCGATTCAATCGAGTGTGGCAGAATCTAATGAAGCGATTTTGGCAAATTGTCCTAAGTGTAATATGTCATTCTCAGAGAAAAATAGATTGTGCCAGCATGGAACAATGCACATTCCTAAGCCGAATTTAAAATCCAAAGATAAAAGCCCTAGCTTGTATATTAATCCTTTTTGTGATTTTTTGCAGCAACTTCAGCAAAAATCATTCATATTGAATGAAAACGATGACGAGTCTTCCAATAAACTATATATATGCAAACGCAAGTATTCGGATGCGATATCGACTGAATATAATAATTTCCCCCCCTCAAATATTCACTATAAACCAACTGATCACACGAAAGTTCACATGCCTCTTCCATATCAAGGGATACGTCATCAACATGGAGAACAATCTATATTAAGGGATACCGACTTTCTATTCCAATATTATGAAAAAAAATTAACATGTAAAGAATGCTGGTTTGGAAGTCGCTGAGAAAACAAAGCCAAGCATAGAGTTTTTATGGCAATATTATCAGATGATGGAGCACATAAACATTTGCAAGTTAAGCACCACCAACAATCATTAATAGATCAAAAACAAACTGCTGAAGACATCGGACCTTTGGCAGTTGAAAATGGAAAGCATTCGCCAATTACAGAAGTTTGTCGTATAGGAAGCCATTCAGTGAAATCTACGGACATTTCTCATAGTAACTATGAGGAGGAAAATGTTAGAAGTTTTAGAGCAGATCCAGTAGACTACACTAGCGTAAGCCAAAATTCTGAAATTTTAGAAAAAAATGACCAATCAGATGTACATAACGAACTTGAGGCGGATTTTTTTCTAGACAGGGTAATACCAAAATCTGAAATGAAAGCCTTCTTCAGATTGGAGCGATCGCCCGCTGAATTGTTTCCATTTACTTCTGCTAATGCAAATGATTTATATTTTTGCATTCAAAAGACATACTGTTCAAATGGATTATTTAAAAAATATAACACCGGCATTGTCCTTGAAAATCATGGATCTATATTAAACGAATTTCACTCAATTATTAACAAAGTTAAAAACATACAGTTTTCAAATTATATGATTGAGGTAAGTTAGCTGATGGAGAAGAACCGAGAAGAGTGTGTCATGAAAAGTTCGTGTTAATGATCCGGTCAAACTGATGATCACAAGAAGATAAGCTAAATATATGCGGACTCATTCTTAACTTAGAAAAAACAATAATTAAAAAAAAATATATATTATCTCTGGACCGAAATCAAGAAATATTGTCTACGATTCTCAATGTGAATTGGATTGAAAACATAACAGTGTGAAACGTTAAATATTTGTTTATTTTTACAATATTACATTATAACATAACATTATACATCAACTATGGAACATTTTTATTTAAGTTCTAGACTTTGTTTCTATGCCCTCCGCCTCAATGTAAGGGGTATATTAGTTTGTCATTTCATTTCCAA